GGATTGCTAATTGTCCCACTGATCGACGTCAGAGAGTAAAATACCATTCTGCCTTGTCTGAGTGGAAAAACCTCTCATATGGCGTGCCTCAGGGCACCAAATTTGGTCCCATCATTTGTTGGGCTGTTATCAATAATGCTTCTGAAGGGTCTTTGACTAAAAGCTTTATGTAGACGATCTGACATTTGCAGAGGTCCGTCATGCTAATGAATCTAGCCAGATTCAATTTGATCTTGACGGCCTGGATGCGTGGAAGAAGGACAGCCACCTCAGGTTCAATCCTACCAAATGCAAAGTTATGCAAGTTTGCTTCAAAAAGATCCTCCAACGCCACCTTGTCTTAAAATTGGTGGAATTGAGCTTGGGGTGGTGTCCGAGACTAGGCTTTTGGGCCTGATAGTCCAATCTAATCTTGGCTGGCAATCTCAGGTTATGATATGGTCTCAAAAATTAGTAGTAGGTTATACATGCTTGGCCGCCTGAAACAGTTTGGTTTGCCTATCGACGTCTTGGTCTCTGTGTATACTTGTTATGTCCGTACAGTTTGTGAGTATGCAGCCCCAGTTTGGCATGGTAAGATCAGCAATAATCAGACATATCAACTTGAACGCATTCAAAAGCGTGCAGGTCGTATTATTCTTGGAGCTGACTATGAGTCATACTCAATGGCTTGTGATCGGTTAGGCCTCCAAACTCTGGAAGACAGACGACTCCATCTCTTCTCCCAATTTGCTAGTTAATGTACAAAATCAGTCAGATATGCAGAATGGTTTCCTCCCAACAAATGTACCCACAATATGACTCTGAGACAATCCAACATTTACCAGATCCACATCACAAAACAAATAGGTATGGCAATAGTGCGATTCCCTCTCTGACAAAACTCCTGAACCAGAATTCCTAAGCAGCAATAATAACAATAATAATTTTATGTCCCCTTTTGTATGTTTTTTGAATAATATTTACACTGTAGATATTTATAGTTCTGTAATTCTTATTTATTTTAAATTCAAATTTTTCTTGTATAATCTTCTTGTTTAATCTTCTAGTGTTTTTTTTATTCCCTTGTAATAACCATGCAATTCAGCGTCCAGCTGCGAATTGGTCTAATAAAATATGAATGAATGAATGAATGATTTTATTGTAGACAGAGTTAAAAATCAGTGACTATAGGTGAGCTGACTGTGCCATTTGAGACAAATATCTCCAATGCCAAAAAACGAAAATTGGAAAAAATATGCTCCACTTGTAGCTGATATATTGAGGAGAGGGGGTACGACTGTAAACTAATCTGCTTTGAAGTAAGCTCCCGTGGACTGATAACTAAAGACAATAAAAACTGCATTGGTGCTTTGCTAAAAGCTTTCAATAGATCGACCAAAACTGCAGCTCATTTTAAACACATATCCAAAATAGCCACTTTAGCCTCTTATGCCATCTTCAACTCCAGGAAATGATAATAATAATAATTGTGCTTATATCAACGATCTTAAAGCGCTTTACAATTATTACCCCGTTCATCAGGCCATGGGACCACGCGGCAGCCGATAATCAGCGCTCAATCGGTCCTCGACCCTCACAGGTACCCATTTATACTCCTGGGTGGAGAGAGGCAATTGTAGTAAAGTGTCTTGCCCAAGGGCACAAACACCATGTTCCTGGCAGGGTTCGAACCCACGCACCTTCGTACATGAGTCAAACACCGTAACCACTGGATCATGGCGTTCTACAGGAAAGAACCAACTTGGCAAAAACCGGCCTTTATCATGCAAATCCTTTAAAGTGTGTTTGACGTCTGAATATGCAGAATTGTTCTTATGGCCGAACAATAATTCTTTTATCCCATGTTCTTACCATTATTAACTGTTTTAAAACCGTTTTATTTCACTGTTTCTCATTATTCTTGTTTTGTCCTTATCTAGTCTTAAATGTATTGTATTGTCAGCCTTGTAATGTTCTGTTCAACAGACAGTATTAACCTAGGCCTGAGTGTTGTTTCAACCTTTGTTTTAATAAAGTTTAAATTTAATATATTGTATAATGCCAACTGTATCGTTTGTATTAGCCGCATATATCGTCTCGTCCACAGATCAAACTCGCCACTAGTACGCCCAGAGGTGAAATTTCGTTAATTTAATTACTTATTCGCCTGTAAATTGGAATTCAATTAAAAATGTTTCCCTTGTGGTCATCGAATTTATCAAGAATTCTAATTTTTATGCTGACCATGGGAAACTCCTGTGGATTTTCACTAATTGAATACAATGGGATAAACACCATGGGACACCATTGGAACACCATGTGAGAATCGCTCCAATAACGGGGGTTGTTATTGCAAATTTTTGAATTTTTCTGTTGATAAGTGGAGTCAAATGAAGCATACAGTATTTTTTTGTATTGGAAAATGTGACATACAAAGAACCTTGGATAATATTGATTCATTTGTTATGATGGTTGGAAACATTTATGAGAAAATAATTTGGGTACACTGTGATAATATAGTACAACTTGACAAGTGGTATGGGAGCAATAATGTGGACATTGGTCATAGAGTGCATAAGCCCCTCCTAATACGTGGAGTAACCCCCATCGGAGTTCCATGATGTGCTTTACCTATTCGGTGAATAGCACAAAACACACAGGGTTAAAATGTATTAACAAAATAATTGTTATTGAAAAATACCATGGAGCAATTTGGACTCTTTTCAGAAATGATAGGAAACTATACATGGGAATAAAACCATATAAAATTTCCCATGGGAATAAGCCAATGGGAAAACTCCCATAGGAAAAATCCCATGCTACATGGTGTTTCCAATTCACCATGCAATTCCCATGGGGTCCCAAATTTTCCATGGGAACTACATGGGAGATTTCTGTAAGAGTGATGTGTGACAGACACAGTTCAATCCGTAAGAAATATCTGTACGATGTGCTCTATTGGTTTGACTCCTTAATTGATAACGCCAGCAGGCATGGTTATTGGCCTCCCGACTGTACTTTGTTATGTTTATTTAGGTTGGAAAACCATAGCTGGCAATATTCAGTGGCGTATTTAGGAAGGAGGGGCTGCAACGAAGAACGCCATCTATTCTCCAATATTGTCTTTTTTTTATACAGCGCCTCCAATAGTCAGATGGCGTCCATGCAGCCCTTCCATCACGGATAGTCTGCTTGCCTCCCCCCCCCCCCCCTTCAGCAAAATCCTGCATATGCCACTGACAATTATCTAACCCTAGTTCACAACGTCCCATCGATTAATAATTTACAATAATTGTACTGACTCATTAGGGATCCTTCTTGCTTTATAGAGGCGTCCTTATAGAAATTACAGAGAAAAATCTACATCAATTTGGCTAATAACATACACACCTCTTGCTGGTTCTTTACCTTGGTTGGCCAAACACGGTCACGTGGGGTTCATTAATATAGGATAGTGTATGAAATTTGCGTCAGCGAAAAATAGACGTGCGTCAAGACATCGCTTGCGAAATGTCCGGAATATAGTGCCCGATCGGGCACTTTACTCAAAATGTTCGACTGGTTACAGCGCCCTCTCAAAAACTCAATTCAAAAACGGAATCTAGGAAAACTGAAGGCGTTCCTCTAATTGTTGAATTGCTTATTGATTTAATTGTTCAATTTTTCTTTTCAGTTCAAAAGTTCCTTTTTTTGTATTTTATATTTTGGACTGCTTAATATTCATAAAGCCATTCATTGCACCTTCGCGCGTGCTATTCACATTTTTTTTTTCAGGCCTATACGTTTATACGTGTACATGTGAATGCAAATCATGAAATCTGGCAAAAGTCCTCATTTTTCATCCGGCGATTTGGACCAAACATTAGAGGTCTCCTGCACTTGTTTCACTTGAAAATGAAGCGTATACTTTCCTCTATCTACTAAGCCTTGCCATTACTTTCAGCCTTTTTTAAGAATCAAATGTACACCTAAAAACTATCGGCCTTCGCTATAAAATATGATTTTGTTTGACAGGCCGTAACAGCACTTTATGTTTGTCAAAAGCAGGTTTTTTTTGGTATCAGAATAAAGCACACGATTTCAACCTTTTATCTAGCCATCTGGGCCAAACAGTGCATGTGTCCAGGTACTTTTCGTGTTTTTCTGTAGTCTCGAATACATCTCGTAAAATCTCGCGTACGCTTTTTGGCCATGCGTGCGTGACTTCGGGACAAAAAAACTGAGGTCAAACAGGGCTGTGTGCGTGACACGGCCACTGACTGTGCCCCTCCCCCGTGACTTTTGTGCAGTGAAAACAGGACCTGAAACCTGTTGCACATACACTATTGTTACTATAATGCGGAACTATTATTGCAGTACTTTATTGCAGAATCACTGATTTGCGACGATGAATACAATATCTGTCCTTGTGGAAAACATCCTGACTATTCACGTATTTTCTCAGAAATTAGAATATCAATTGAAGGGGAAGTCCCTTGAGCGCCCCAGTATCTTTGTGTGTACGGAGGCTATAAAATGCCACAATGTATACAAAATGTAGCGGTATTAAAAGTGCAAACGTACTTTATACAAGCTAGCCTGGACTACCCTCTCGGTATATGCTTTTTTAAGCGGAATACACGATTCATTAAATTATTGTACGACGTTGACAGTTTTATAATGCGCCTACTGAACAAAAATGTATGGTTCAAGTTAACAATGATTAACCATTTTTGAAATCACGGTTAAACATGGTGTACAGATTGTCCTCAAAACGAACGTACCAAGTAATCAGAAACTATATGCGCTGAATTCATGCGTGGAAGTAGGTTACAGAAGAAACGCTGTGATATCTTATAAAAGTTCAACCTGATCGCCAGGCTGGCTGTTGGGTGCGAGTATGCCTAGGCCTACATGTAACTGCCATTTATAATTACTGCGGAAATATTGACATTTGGCAAGTTCGGTCAAAACTTCATTCGGTCAGTGCCACATGCTATATATCCACAGGTAGTCCCTACATTACTATAAATACATGAGCCTCACTGCACGAAGAGTGAGCAGCAAATCCTGCGACGTCTGCAATGTATGATTAAACTTAATAACTGGTGGCCTTTATGGAGTCCCATCGTTAACAAGTTCACTGGGCACTAACAAAAGATCCGATATTAGCACAAAACGGGCAGGAAATCGATTGCGTAGGTTGGAAAAAGGACACTTGCCCCACCTCAGTTTATTGCCGCCTTTAATCAGACAACAGTTTTGCCTCACTCCTCAGAATTCGAGTACCTTCATCTTCAGTTTTAGGTCACAGAGAACCAGCAAAGCTTAATGTAAGTAGATGTTCCTTCTCTTATTTAAACTTAAGGGAGGATACATTGTTATCGTAATATAGTTCCGTTGACAAGCAATATACCTCTTGGTGCATAATAGACACTATTTTTTTTTTATCTACGTACAATGATGTGAATTTCAGATATCTTCCCTTGGTGGCCTGATTTTGGGTATGCAAAAAACGACATAATTCGCTGATTGTAGCCTACAAAGTATTTTTTTCTATTGTGGCTCGGTTTAATATTTAACCGTAGACGAAGACAGTGGTATTGAATAAATTAAAGCTGATTATTTCGTTATAATGATCTCCTCAGGTACGGGATGACGACATCTTACTCAGAAAATGTCGCATGGTAAATACGTGCTTTGACAAGTTTCGTCATGATGACGTCATCACGTGTCATGTGACGTCACCATGAAGGTTTATTTTTCAATGGTGTATATCTACATAACTAGAACTAAAAGGCCAATTGGGTTCAAGTGTTGAGTGCACAATGACGTCATGACAACGTCTTCTTTTGTTTTTGCTTTGTAGAATTTTTCAGTGTGCTAAATGAAAACTTCTTTTTGTAATAAGATTGTTTTTGTTCTTGGAAACATGCATTTAGTTGAAAAACGTGTGACGTAATCATGAAGTCATCAAACATCGTAAAAATAGCATGTAAAAATAGGATTACAACATCCTTAAAATGCTATGTTGACACATCCTTTTTTAAATTGTCGTAGGGTGTCGACCTCCTACCCAATCGGGATCGTCATCTCGTGATAAATTGTCTCAGAATGTTGACATCGTACATTAAGGTTGTCGTCATTCAGTTAAAGTTACCTCACAATGTCGACATCTTTCGTGTATATGGTGTAATCCCGTGATGAATTATGCCAGGATCTCAAGATCTTGCATGGCACTTCCAGAGCTCCATACTGAGCAGACATACTAACTCTTATGCCAATCATGCTGTTTGTAATGCTAGTATGTGTCTGATAGAAGGCCTCGCTATGTCTGCAGTGACATAGTCCATGGGGTTTTGTACATCCGAGGGTCGTATACGCCGAGAGTGCCATGTTCAACCGAGGCTGAGCAAAACAAATGGACTTTATCACACAGACACCTATTGTTCTTTTGTTATACCGTGGTATTTTAACGAGCTTCAAAACGTAACAATATGGTTTAAAAGGTCATTTTTTTTAAGACTGAACTTTTCTGTATGGATCCTCTTATGCATGTTAATTGAACAGTTCAAAACGTGGACAAGGCATCAGAATTTCAAAACTAGATTCGCAACCCAAAAATCGTGGTGGAGAGTATTGGAGAATTATGCAAGCAAGAAAAGGCTGGTCTTAGAGCGCACGCACAAGGACGCCATGGAATGGACTAAGCCTAGCCCATAGACCAGATGCATGCAAAGACTTTCAGTGAATAGCCATTCTGAATAAATTGAATAAAGTTTCGTCCGCTCTTGAACAAACATCACAAGGCTTAATATTCCATCTAAGACGTGGTCATTCAGTTACATTACTGGTAATCACAATCAACACAACTTTTCGAATGAACAAAAATCTCGATTGAATGAAAGCTACCCGAGCCAAAAAATTCTGTCCGTAAACTCATGCAGGTCATCTACACAGATCTTTTGTATGAGCTTAATGTGTTATCAACTTGTTTTTTATTGATTTCAGATAACGATGGCCATGTTCATTTTCCTTTTATGTATCGGAGCTTTCATCAGAATGTCCGAATCATCTACCTGTCATGCGCAGTGTGATTACGACCACGTGACTGCAAGGGCCGACTGCTCCTCCCGTAATCTGACATGTATCCCCGTCAACTACCCAGACTCCCTCATCATGGATCTCAGCCACAACGCCATATCGATGCTGGAACCAGGCGGCTTCAACGGGACATTTACGAGGTTGGTTGAGCTGTACCTTGACAACAACGCCATATCTGATGTGACGTCACTGCTGCAGTCAACCGGGTTGGGGAGCCTGAAGAAACTATCGATGGACCATAACATCGTTAATGACTTGCCCTATTCTTGTTCGCTTAGTGCCCTCGAAGAGATGTCACTGGACTACAACTCACTCAGTGACTTACGCAGGATTCCCTCTTGTAACAGTATAAAGAGATTTTCAGCTAATTCAAATGAAATACAAAGTGTTCATTTGCCAAGATATGTCCGTATCTTCCCTTCATTTATCAGCTTGCGGTTCAACAGGATAGGGGAATTTTTTTGGTACCTACGTCGTCGAGGTATGATTACCCCTAATGTGACCTTTTTACTAGATCACAATGAAATCACGAATGTTGAAATAAGGATTGATGACTATTTCCCCATGGGACTAGGCCTACTTTCTCTTAGTCATAACGGACTGCAACACATTAAGACCCCACTTCCCACTAAGTTCATCATTGCCAGCAATGGGTTACGTGAATTCAGTGGATTTAATTTCTTTCAGCGTGAGGAAACATTACTAGAGGAGCTAGACATAAGGAACAACTCGTTTGATTCCTTGATACAACCAGAATGGGCAGAAGGTCTTCAGATCTTATACGCTGATGATAACATACTGGCCAACCTGTCCTCTACAACCCTACAAGGATTCGGCAGCCTGACGGAGCTCCATCTAGCAAATAATCGACTCATGTTCATTTCATCAACGGCTCTGAGTCAACTCACTAAGCTACGGTCTCTGTATCTCGATGGCAACGCCCTGACGTCATTGTTTGGTGAAATATTCCTCAAGCAAGGAGAACTAGTGGAGCTTTCAATCGCAAACAACCAACTCCACCAGTTATATCCGGATTACTTCCTCGGTCTGAACTCACTGGAACGTCTGTATCTCGCTGGCAATCGACTGGTTTACGTCCAACCAGAGATGTTCCGGCAGATGCCTGGCCTTACAACGATGGATTTCTCTAAAAACGAACTTGAAGTCTTTGATATCACAAATTGTAGCCTTCTCAAAAACGTAACGAACCTCCTGCTGGCTCACAATTCCATTCATGCCGCCAGCTACATACTTGGCCATTGCAATAACTTAATAGTCCTGGACTTGAGTTTCAACCAGATCAAAATGGTTCCAGGTGACTCTCTTACTGAGGGAAACAGAGCGCTATCGAAACTTGAGCTGGAAGGCAACCCGCTTTATTGTGACTGCCGGTTGAAGGGTCTGCGTGACTGGCTTCGCAACAATCCCCCGTCTGTTCTCCCTCGATGTCATGGTCCATCGCAATACTCTGAAGCAGTGGTTACAGATTTGGACAAACAATATTTCATCTGTGATCCTCCAAAGGCCGTGACTGACGTGAACCCCCTCAATGTGATAGTCGGTCAGACAGCGATTTTATCATGCACGGCGACTGGTATACCCATCTCCTTCATAACATGGCTGGATCCCAACGGCACGGTGATACCAGATGAATCGCAAGGCCGATTTATCATTTCAATAAAGATGAATTTGCACATCATTTCAGTGAAGCTATCTGATCAAGGAATGTACGCGTGTTTGGTCCAAAATATCCTGGGTGAAATGGACAGAGCTGTGGTCAATCTCACTGTTACCGAAGACCAGATACCACCATTAATGACCAAAGTAGGTCCTTCTTTGGCTGCTGTTGTTCTCCCCACCATGTTTATCACCATCGTTTTTATGCTCCTTGTCTTCGTCTTGGTTATTTGCCTTCGACGGCGGTACAAGAAGAGACACCACCAGACTAGCTCTGCAACTCCTGGACCGCAGAATTCTGAGCTTGCCGTAACTTTCCAACAAGGAAAGGCATCCAACTCAGACGGAGTCTACGTCAATGAAGTCGCTGATCAGGAGGGCTCAACTGCAATACAAAGAGCAGGCAGCAACGATGAATATCAGGATACCATACGGACGGACGAGCCTCCACAAGTCTACCAAGAGCTGAGAATGGAGAACAAAGATGACTTTTATGAACCCGTGGCTAGCTCCAGGAGGTAATCAGTCATTAAAGTGTGTCCCCCAATAACAAGAGCGAAACTGATCTATTTAAGTGGAAAGTCGCTATTAGCAGCTAATAGGGAACTAGTATGTCAACTTCCAATACCTCGGGGAGCTAATATCGACTATTCAACCTCAAACCATGTCATATTTGAATACTGACAAATGTGCTCAAATGGTTTGACTCCTTTATTGATAACGCCATTACTTTCCGTTACTGTACTTCTTTTTTTTACTGTTAGTTTTCTGTCGCTGTAAGTTTTAGTTTTAAGCGGAAATGCAAATTATTATCTACTCTAGTTAAGCAGTGCGACGTTGAGGGACGCCCTTATTTTTATATCATGTTAAAACTTGAAATCCGAACTTTTTCCTTGGTAACTATCGGTTTGATTTTCAAAAGGGTTCTGAAATGATTCGTGTTCAAATTAAGGCATGTAGAAAACAAACTCATCCTATTTCGAGAAAAATCAATCATGCGCATTTTTTCTAATGTGGAAATGGTTCATCATGTTCACGATGTAACGATCTCGTTGCCTTTTACTTTCTGTGTTTCCTTTTCTTTTCGATCCACGTAGACTACACCTAAAATGAATTCACGACATTGTTCTTATTCTCAAGTTCAATTTTGAAATTCACGTGCAAGTATGTACCTAGTCAAAAAGCGCGCGCAAAGTGTGACTCAAATTTTCGTCTGATGTACTGCATCATCGATTTTCCTTAAAATCGGTTCTGTTTGTTTTCGACATGGCTTTACTTGAACCCAAATAATTTAAAAATTCTTTTAAATATCAAACCATTACTCGACAGGGGGGAAGCTCGGAGTTTAGGCTTTAAAATGGTATAAAAATAATGGCGGTACGTGTTGCCGCGCCGACTCTAGAGCCTCGCAAAAAGGTTGCGGGAATTTTGGGACGCGCTGTATACACATTGTTCATAAAATGCACATGTACATGTCGCAGCTATCACATGTTATCGGTTTATAAATAAAAGTCACGACGTGTTATTAATGTTGACACACGTTATTCGGGTTTCCAGCAAGTATACCTGTTCTTTTTATTTAATCGCTATAAAACAAATCTTTCCGCTGCACAAGTACAAATAAAAAAGCATTTCTTAATGAATGCAGCCCCCCCCCTTCCTAGTTAAATATAGCCTTTTTAATATATTCATTGCATGGTAGTTTTGTTAACAGTACGACCTGTTTTTTAGTAGCTAAATATGTATATAAGAAAAAGCCGTGGATGTTTCCCTACATTAAATAAATTTCATTGTAGATAAATGTGATTGCGAGCAGTTTTCATCAACTCGTGTATACTCATAAAAGCAAAAACTACAGTTTACTTTAATTAAAGATATAGTCCATCATTTGTAATTTGTGCATTTCGTTCGTTTGAAGCAACAAAAGTGTTCAAAATCTAATGAAGGATGCTGAACAACTAACCTGATGAAGTTTCAGCTACTTTTTCGGATGGCTGCAAATGATGGACTGTAGCTTTAATGATCATTAATCAAATGGGCGCCACTCAGAGACGTGTTGTAAGCGCTATTAGAATTCTATTTCTCAGAATGTCAATAAGTTTGAAAATAAAATTGGAATCCCTCCATCTGTTCTTAGATTTGATTTGGAGCCAACAAAATCTAACCACATTGTATGAACAAAGTTACCCTTGTTGATAATACCTTACCCTATTTGGCAACGTCGGCCGACATCTAATATTCAGTTATACATTTCTAGTGAGCAACATCTAACCATAAAGATGGCCATTTGGTTTCCTCATGTTAGACAAATCATACTTAGCAACATCCACTGGTATATTTTGGATGGAGGGAGTGGTCTCAACGAAGAATGCCACCTATTGTCCAATAGTTTCCAATATTGTATCCTTTAAACAGCGCCTCCAATAATCAGATGGCGTCCATACAGCCCTTTCAGTACGGAGATCATGCCCCCGGGCCCATCCCACCGCCGTTGGCAAAACTAAAGCTCACGCAACTGGCAATATCTAACCCTAGATCGCAACGTCCGATGATCATTTCAAACATTGACAATAATTTTTACTGACTTATTCTTCTTGTTCCAGAGGCAAATATCTTTCAATTGTACATAAGGGTGGCAGACCAGCTTATAGACAGAGTCATTTTGTTTTGCTCCGAACATCGTTACTTACCCATAAAGATTGTTGTGATCCATGTAGTTGAGGGTTTGTAAGGCTCTCACCTCTAAGGCCCCCCCCCCCAAAAAAAATATTCGGTCTCTGGTCAGACCAAAGTTCCGGAATTGACGCGGCCACGCGGCTTTTTTTTTTCTTCAAGCTTGGATTGTACGACAAGGTGGGTACTTTTTTGCTTTTATGGTGTCCTCATGTACATTGGTGTCCTCCATAATTTGCCTTGGTGCTTTCGATCATTTCCCTTGGTGCAATTTCCCATTTTATGGTGCTCTTTGGTAAAAAAAAATTGAGGAGGTGCGGAAATAGAGGGCGCTGTTGGAGCTACCGCTGAACATTTTGGAAAAAAAGATCGACGCGCATGATTAAAATCGACGCGCGCGCTGACCAGAGACCGACTTGTTTTTTTTTTTGCCTAATCTTGACTTAAACTAGTATTTCTGAGAAAGGTTAATAAAATAGGACATAGAATACGATCTTTTTTTTTGCAATGTCTTGGAAGGAGTTTGTTTGTAATGGTCATGTCCACTGCACAAAATCAACGTAGAGTCATTGCATCATTTTCGAAGAAATATTATCAGCTTGATCAAAGTAATTAAAGAAGGTGTTATGTTATGAACTTAATTTTTTTATCAGATTTTTGGAAATAAGGGTACCCTTATATTATCATTGACGTTTAACCAATCCTATTGTATTGGATTGTATTGTATTTGTAATGTAATGTATTGTATTTGTTATGTTTGTAGTCATTTTTTATTGTATACAGGGCCCCAATGGAAACCAGTTTTAAACTGGTTGGGCATACCCTGGGTATAAAAAAAATGTAATAAATAAATAAATAGTATTTATCCAGAGGCGGTTAGAAAAAGCGCCGCCCAGTGTTGATTGATGCCCAGTCCCTGATGTAAGGCGCTGTGCACCTTCTGACCACCCTTTCGGAATGATCACCTGCGGTGGGTTAATTACAGAAGAAGACAGATCTGGTTAAGCGGCGGCGGATCTACGGAGGGGAGGGGTTTACTCACCTCTTGTGCTGCACAAAATTGAAAACAAAATCATACAGAAAAACAAAGCAACTGCCTGCTAAATCCCCTCTGTGCAGCTACCCCCTCCCCTTGATCCCAACCTGGATCCGCCCCTGTTACGCTACCACATCTCGTGGTCAGTCAGCACATGTTGTTGTCACACAACCTATCATGCGTCAAAACGGTCAGTCTACGCGGTTGGTGACTCTATTAGTGGATCATCAGAGAAAACAAATGTAGCACCTCAACTGTAGAGGGCCTCGATTGTGTGTCGTTCGCTTATCGATCATATATCACTCTTCAAAGTATAAACAACATGATAATAAGCAAGTCTCAGTTGTGACCTTAGAGCACTATGGTTGTTACCTAATAGGTTAAAAATGTTTGGCCGTTAAGGAAAACTCAATATCATTACGTTCGTTAAACATTAAACGAGCTCATGTCGTAAACTATTTTAATCGAGCCTCGGTTCACCTGTCAACTGTTTTGAAGCCCGATAATTACTATTTACACAAAATAGACAAAACCTGCAACAAATACAGAAACCTGTGCAGTTTTTAAGTAGGCGTACGTACTTCTATTGTCCCAATCTCTTCAGTTTTTATTTCCGTCTCTTTGCCTACTACAGTTTGCTGCTATTCCAATGTTCACGAATTTCCCCTCTTCTTTTGGTATTAACATTATTATATTCCTGTGACTCAACTGCTTCCAATATGGAGCCACCTAGTACCAGGTGCTGCCCAGTCCGGTCCCTTTCACATCGCCCTCTGGTGTTAGATGATAAACATCTGGCTTGTGTGCGATTTAATTGATGGTTAGTAACTCATTCGTTGATTCCAATATCATTACGTTTCGTTAACCATTAACAAAGCTCCATTTACTCAAGTATTTGAATCGACTCTCGTCCATCTCTTCAACCGTTTATGGAGTCCCAATGTCATTAAGTTCATAAAACATTAACAATAGGCCTAGATATACATAATTTAAAAACTACAGAAAATCGGCTTCGCAGTTTATAAACACTGCACTTGCTTCATCATTGACACTGTTTACATCCACCTTCCAAGCTGTCGGACCGACATTTGCAACCAATTATCTGCTTTGGCTTTTTTTTTCCTTCCTCATGGTCACGGGGAGCAAGAAAAAAATGTGAGTAGATTATTGTTAAAGTCGATCTAGTTATGCAACAGACGATGCTACATGATACAAGAAGATAGGTTTGAATACAGAGCTATTATCCCATTTGTACAGCATACCTCGGATCCATGTGTGGTTTCGTAATTATATCCTACGACAGCACGATTTTGGTTTTAAAACACTCTGCATTAAGATGCATCAATAGTGACGTATAATTTGGGCAATGTACCCAATGTCAATTAGTTAGTATACATTTTTATTTTTTGTTATTGCTGCTTTTATTTCGTATTTTAAAGTAAAATATGACCGTGGGCATGTTCATCTTCATCTGCGTTATGTGATTCAACATGTATACAAAATGTAGCTTGAAACAGCACCATAATCATTAGTATGACCATATAGTGTCCGATTGGGGGGGGGGGGGGGTCTGCGTTTTAAGCAATAACCATGCAGCTCATTTTTGTTTTGCCAAATTTCTGTGTGTGGGTGTGCGTGTTTATGGTGTATATCGAGGACACACACGTGCAACATCATCGATGAATTGAGGACAGGAACCAAATCGAGAACGACCTCGAGTAGAAAACGTGTACAAAACCTATGAGAGCTGTTGCGAAAAGTTACAAACAAAGGAAAAGGGAAGAGGATCAATAGAAAATCTTCGATTTACACCATAAAGAAACGTGTCTGTCTGGGTGTGTGTGTGTGTGTAAGTATGGGTGAGCTTGTCTTACATACGCAGTGTGGACTTCCGAACAAAAGACGTCCACATAATGTAGGTAGCACCGACGTTGTGTGGACTTGCCCACGTCCACACAGTGTTTCCCCATTTCTGGAAAACAGGTTTAGAGGCATTTTTGGGTTAGGTTTATCTGTAGCAGAATGAAGAGAAACACTAAAGGGAATCATAGAAAAAAAATTGGGTTGAAAGAGTTTTCACAGTTTGAGAAAAATGAGTTTTTTCACTGGTTTTTCTTAACTACACGAAAGCAATGGAAAGTCCACACTAGTCATGTGAAACAAGTGTGGGTGTGTGTGTGTGTGGGGGGGGGGGGGGGGGGGGTATAGCACAAGGTGCACGGACCTACAGCAAAAAATTGCCCCATCACCGGAGATCCCACCCCGGACTTCCCGATCTTGATAAGATATTTCTCAGGCAGTTTGCTTTACCTGTTCACAGAGTGGCTAATGTTGTTAGCCTCATCTCGTTGCATGCTCCGTGTTTATCGTTTCCGACTAGCGCCATTGAAAAAAATATTATTATAATTTGAAATCTTTGCGCGTACTCCAGTTAATAGAGCAACTTGTACGATAATCCGGAGGTCCCGCTGAGCCGCTCGATAATTCTCAGGCCCCGCTCGAATCAATTTCTTCTTTCAACTTTTAAATATTAAAGGTATGTATGCAACTTCTCAGTTTCCTTTGTGATCTTTTGGTACCTCGTGCAGATGACGATGGCCTTGTTCGTTTTCCTTTTGTGTCTCGGCGGTTGCATCAGAATCTCCCTATCATCTACCTGTCATGCGCAGTGTGATTATGACCACGTGACTGCAAGGGCTGACTGCTCCTCCCGTTATCTGAGCTGTATCCCCGTCAACTACCCTGACTCCGTCGTCATGGATCTCAGCCACAATGACATATCGGTGCTGGAAACAGACGACTTCAGCGGGACGTTCGGGAGGTTGGTTGAGCTGTACCTTGACTACAACGACATTTCTAACGTGGCGTCACTGTTGGAGTCAACCGGGTTGGGAAGCCTGCAGAAACTTTCGTTGCAACACAACGTCATTTCGGCATTGCAGACTTCATGTAGCCTCAGCTCCCTTATCAATATCTCGCTTGACTATAACTCATTAGGTGGCTTTAACTTTCCAAGCTGCACAGCTTTGGAATATTTTTCGGCAAATTCCAACCTTGTTACTGGATTTAATTACGGGCAGTTACCCTCTAAAATAAGCTTGCAATTCAACGAAATATCAGGATTTAGTCTATCGCACACTGATGTCAGTACACTCCTATTAGATAACAATAACATTGATAATTTTGCATTTAGTGGTAACACGGTTAACTTAGTGTCCCTCAGTCATAATAAGCTGGGTACCTGTACCCTGACAGTTTCATCCTTGTGTGAGTTCAATATCGCAAGCAATGGACTAAATGACCTCCGATCAGTTGATGTGCGTGTAAGCGGCGGTAACAATATGAAGAAACTGAATATAAACAGTAACTCATTTGATTCCCTGATACAACCAGGGTGGGCAGAAGGTCTTCAGATCTTACACGCTGATGGCAACATACTGGCCAACCTGTCCTCTACAACCCTACAAGGATTCAGCAGCCTGACGGAGCTCCATCTAGCAAATAATCGACTTGTGTTCATCTCATCAACGGCTCTGAGTCAACTCACTATGCTACGGTCTCTGAATCTTGATGGCAACGCCCTGACGTCATTCTTGGGTGGCACATTCCTAAACCAAGCTAAATTAGTTGAGTTGTCCATCACAAACAACCAACTCTCCGAGTTACATCCGGATGACTTCCTGGGTCTGGACTCGCTCGAACGTCTGTATCTCCCTGAGAATCGACTGGTTTACGTCAATCCAGAGATGTTCCGGCAGATGCCTGGCCTGACTATGATTGATTTCTCTTATAACAAACTTGAAGTCTTTGATATCACAAACTGTAGTGTTCTCAGCAACTTAACAAATCTCCTGTTGGCTCAAAATTCAATCTATTACATCAGCTTCATTATTGGCCAGTGTGATAGCTTGGTAGTCCTGGACTTAAGTTTTAATCAGATCCAAGTGCTTCCTGGTGACTCTCTTACTGAGGGAAACAGAGCGCTATCCAGACTTGAGCTTCAAGGCAACCCGCTTCAGTGTGACTGCCGGTTGACGGGTCTACGTGACTGGCTTCGCAACAATCCCCCGTCTGTTCTCCCTCGATGTCAAGGTCCACCGCAGAACTCAGGAGCATTGGTTACAGACTTGGACTTCCAAGATTTCATATGCGATCCTCCTAAGGCCAAGACAAACGTGAACCATCTCAACGTGATAGTCGGTCTGGCAGCGACTTTGTCCTGCACGGTGACTGGCATACCCATCCCAATCATAACATGGCTGAACCCAAACGGTACGCTGATAGTAAACGACTGTAAGAGCAGGTTTATCATTTTTATAGACACGATCCTACACATCATTTTGGTGCGGAAATCAGACGAAGGAATGTACTCGTGTTTAGCCCAAAATACCCTCAATGAGAGTGATAGAGCTATGGTCAACGTCATTGTTACATATGCCTTGGCAACGACTGTTGAACCATAGGCTCAGCATTAAAGACCACTATTAATGCACCACACCAAGTGATGGATTTCTCGTCTAGCACGTACACGCTCAATTCATTGTAACTGCTTGAGTACAAGTTAACAGAAAATGCACCACCACCTACGGTATGCATGGCTGAATTTCTCTCAGTAGGGCATAGACTGCCCCCCCCCCAATAATTGGGACCGGTAGGTAGCTCCCATTAAAAAAAATGATTGGATTACCTCTGCGCGTGCGCTTAAACACATGGTTTTCATGGATTTCATCTGCACTTGGTTTTCATCTGCACTTAAACACATGGTTTTCAAAGAACTGATAGTCTTAACAACAACCAGTATGCAAAATCGCCAGTGTCTCCACGAAGGCAACTTTTAGAGCATTTCAACTGCATAGGTTTCACATACTAAAAATGAGTGCCCCTCTCTTTATTGATAGTTGCCAGAAGCACTTTCGAATTCAGCGAAAATTGAAGCTAATCACCTCAGAAATTGCATATTCGTAGCTGAGGTGCCACTTTGCAATTTGTTGGCTCCGCGCAAACATTATTGTGGTTGTTTTGAATTCAGGGGCGAGAATCTTGCGCCGCCATTTTGGGAGATACAAACAGTCGAAAATCCGAGGAACTAGACGTTTGTTGCACTTTCTGTAACTCCTTACATGTATTTAGATTAAAGTAAAATGTCCCGAATAAACGTAATCTTTACTTGCACCAGTGAAATACATGTATGACCTTTGAGTAAAATGAACCGTTTCTCTTTCTTTTTGCTGGAGTTTTGCAATTTCCATGTTAGTTTCACGTTGTAAGGAATGTAAGCTACCATAATATCATCATTACATTTTATCTACGATTGATTTAAAATCGCCTTTCAATCAGCGTGTTTTACAAATGTTTAAATATGTTACGCTTAGAATAGAGCAGCAAATTGTCCACCGCGTTTGCTATTGGGTTGGTATTTGATGAGCATTTTGTTTCTTTCGTCATTTTCTATGAAGTAGCATTTCCATTTATTTTGCACAGAATGCTGAGGGAATCATAGATTCCAGTTTCTAACAGTCCAAATGAGATGAAAAATAATGTTTTATTATGCTTTATATCCCAAGCAGTGTTGCATAAATACGATTTTTTAAAGGACACCAGTAGTCACTTGTACCTTTGTTATAAATTCTGTTTAGTTTAGATTTGTTTTTGTTTTTACTAAAGGCACAACATAATATTGCTTACAAAATTCGAGAATGAACTTTGAATATTTAGTCCATATAATTTAGGCCGAATTAAAATAAACCCTATGTTTCTCGTCCGGGTTTTTTTTTTTTTTTAAAAGGAGGAAGCGGGGCTTTTTATTTTCTATTTTTTATTTTTTTCAAGATGGCCGCCATTTTAAAATTTTCCTGCAACCATTGTTGTTCCACTGTTCACAGACACTTTTAAAATGAAAGATAAGTTGGACAAGAGAACTGAACATATTTACAGTGTCATTTAGAGTTGTATTGGTATTGGTATTTATTTTCCGATGAATTTTTGGACTTTTCGGTGTTCTTTTTACAGCATTTTTCAAAAATAAAAAATTTAAAAAAAAAACAGGCGGCCTCCAAAAAGGAAGTGGGCGGGAACGAGAAACATGTATTTTTATTTTACTTCGCCTTAATCGTGTAAGGCTTATTTTTCCCTTGTATTTTTTATTTACGAGAAAGAAAACACTGGCACATATTTATTGGCTTTGTGATGTCCAAGTTTAGTATAGGTGTGTATGCCTCTGTAAAGTTGTCATTATATCGCCTCTGTTCATTGTTTCGTAAAGTGGTGTAAGCTTACCATTAATGTTTGTTTGTTTTAATTTTGGCGTATTTTTCCTTGCAATTGCTTTTCAGTTAGCGAGTTTTATAATGGGAATGTTTAATCTTTAAATGCGATCAGTATGTAAAGGTGTTTCAACAATGATGGCAGAGTTATTTTTCCTACAAGGATACAATTTCAAAATGGCTCGTGAGTTTGTTTAGTGAAAAATAATATTGCTTATAAAATATCGAAGGAATTGTGAATGAAGTTAATATGCATTTGCATGTAACTTTGTGGTTTTATGCTTATAGCATTATGAGAATAAGCAAATAGGTTGATGACTTTTACAAACTGGGAAAGTAGTCCCAAAGAAAATCAGTTTTCTTCGAAGCATAAAGACATCAAATGGTTAAATTTCCTGTTTTGGTCACTGTTTTGTACTTGTTTTTACGAAAAAAAAGCCTGTTTGCGAATGGCTGTTTAACGTCCAGTGCAAAGCGAAAAGCGCCACCTATTGTCTGACATTGACCATGATGTCGGTTTTTTAACAGCGCCCCCATAACAAGATGGCGTCCGCCCCCCCCCCCCCATTCTCGACCCTCTGTCCAAAAATGCGATTTAAAGAAATGTCGTTACAACTATGTTTTTTAACATCACCAGCGATAAAACCTCAGTTCAAAAGTTAATCGTATTCAACGAAGTCCTTTAAACTATAAAAGGGCCGGATTATTTTGACCATCTCCCAGCCGGGGGGCGAAATTTCTTTTCCCAAACGAGAGCGGACAATGTTAAAAGAGGGCGCTCTCTCTGCGTTATGCATATTAATGATGTGCAAGGCTTTTAAAGAATAAGATATATAACAAGGATAAACAGTGTTTAAATCACCGATAATTGGCAGCTGATTCGATGACTGGTTGGTAGTAGTCCTTGCTTCTAATCAGGTGATCCGAGTTCCAATCTCAGTGAGCGTTTTTCGCTTCTTCTCATTTTACCTTTTAAATAAGTAAAGTGATGAAGGAACATTTCTCACAAGAAGTAAAGCCTATCTTGGGTTTGTGTCGTGGAGAACAAGGCATTGATATGCATGTAATGGACCAATCAGAAGAGGGGAAGCGGATGTGGTTTCGGGAAGAAAAAGATTCGCAACCGGGGGGGGGGGGGATTCCCCCCCCCCCCCCAAATCTCTGCCATCTAATGACGAAAATTCTGAACTCGGTACATGCATAGAACAACTTATCATGAACATGCCCAAGAATTTTTGTGACTATAGGTCAAAGGGTTTGGGAATTATAGCTAATTAATTATTCATATGCACGAATGGTAATTCTGCTCTGTGTACACTACGTATATGGGGAAATTCAGTTGTTAGCCAATGCAGGGTTGTTAGTAAGGATATTGTGTACTACAGTTGTTGAAACAAGTATTCTGTGTCATTTTCTTTGTTGTTCAAAACAGTCTAACACACATTTTTTTTTTTTTACGAAACTTCAAAAGGGTTACTTTGTTTAAATAGTGATAACAGTTTACCGTGTAGAGCAATTGAAGTAATTTTTTTCATCTAGAAGTAGTTTAATAAATTAGCTTACCAGTCATCGTTATTTTTGGTGCTACATAGTTTTTTTTTTAATTATAAAGTATATTTCTTTTGGTTTGGGTTCCACTTTTTTGTAAGTCACCGTGTATGGGAGGAACATAGGCTCGTTTTGAAGTTGCCAAATCACCTCCTTAAAAATTGATTTTTTTTATTCGTTTGCAGTTTTTGGTGTGTGATTAATTTTCTTTTTCGTTCATTTTGCCAAATGGAGCTTTGCCTTTGCTGTGAGAAAACACGTACGGAATTTAACACGAAAACAACAGATATCATTTTAGGTCAATTAGTCGATCAAAATATGCTCGCTCATGAATTGCTGTCAATTGTTGCCAGTGCAACTGATGTGTAACATGAAACTAGTTGCACAAATAATATTACATTACTTTATTGAAGCAAAACTAATTTGCGACGAGGAATACAATATCTGCCTTTGGGGAAAACATCTGTCGTATTTGTTTAGATATTAGAATATCAATGGAAGGAAAAGTCCCTTATCTTCCCAGTATTTGTATTTGTACGGATGCTACGAAATGCCACAATGCGCAACGATAATGTGGCTATTTTTTTAACACGCCAGCCCGGACATCCCTCTCGGTATGCCTTTACAGCAGAATAATCAATTCATCAACTAATTGCACTTGACACTATTATGATGCGCCCACTGACAAATCTTGACAAATTCTTAAATCACGGCTAGACAGTGTGTAATAGGTGATCCTCAAAACAAAAGTGCGGAGTTGCCAGAAACTATATGCACCGAGTCCATGCATAGAAGCGAGTATATAACCGCGGAATGTTGCAGGGAAAACCTGATAACAGTTTTACCTCATCATCACCAGAGATAGGTGTAAGAACTGTCCTTTATAATTACCTCCAGTCCTAGATATAGGGCAAAATCCAATAAAAAATTAAAACATTACTGCCAAATTGTAAACGGCATTTTACAAGTTCGGTAAAAACGTTATTGGGCCACGTCTGTTGACAGTGTCACATGTTATATTATGTCCGCAGGCAGGCCCTACATTGCTATGAATACACGGGCCACACTGTACAAGGAGTGAGCAGCAAAGCTTATACCTTATATCAACTGGCGTCCTCGGAGTCCCGTTATATGTTAACAAGTTCATTGAACACTAACAAAAGGTGCGATTACAGCACAAACTGGTCAGGAAATCGGTTGCATTGTTTGGAAACACGTAGTCTTGTTCCACCTTTTTGTGAATATTTTTACGTCTAGCCCGACGACATTTTGAATCACTCTTCAGAATTTGTGCTCTCACCAGTTTTTTGATCTAGGAGAACAAACGGAAAACGGGTTAATGTGAGTAAGCTTCCTTCTAGTTACCCATTATGTATAGTACTGTTGATGATGAGAAATACTAAATATGCAATACAACCGCAAGTAGTTCCCGCCTAGACGGCAATATGGAGCTCTTGAGTTGCAATCCATGCGAGAAAGCTAAATTTTGCTAGTTAGGTTTGTGATGCCTCATCAAGTCTCTGAGCCTGATTTTTTAAGCAATGTACATGAATGCCATGAAAAGCTCACGTAGTCTGCTGCGATGTTGTATTATGTTTTATACTAAGTGGTTGGGGGAAGGGGGGGGGGGGTAAATGGCATATGAAGCGAACCATTTGGACCCCAAGGGCATATAAATCCCATCATGGACTATATCATAACAGTTAACTATTGTTTTGTTATACCATAATAGTATCATATTTTTTTTTACCCACTATAGTAAGATTAAAAAAAACCACCAATATATTAAGTAAAGTTTATTTATTTATTTGTTTAGTAATTGTTTATTTAACTGGGTAGCCCATTTAAAATCAAAGGCAAACAATCATCATAAAACAATACACAGACACATAAATTCACATGAATTCAAAAAAATATATCAAGAATTATAAAGTAGGGCCTGTCTTAAACTAAATATCAGAAGCATATTAATTTACATTAAAAAAAATCTACTCATTTGCACATCTGAATATTATTAAGGATGAAACTGACAAAACATGGTGCACAAAAAGACCGACCGTAGAGACAGACAAGCGTTTAAAAAGCAACCAAATTGATGAAAAGAGAACCCATTAGGTTAAAAGGCTCAGCAAATGTTAATTTATGGGGACTTTGCACGACAAAATAAAAAGCCTAAGAAATAAAAACTAGAATAAAAAACAAAACCTATAGAAACGACTACTGTCAGTAGTGAATGGATTTCAATAATGAAATACTTAATGTTTGCAGTTGACGGTTTTTTAAAGATGAGATGGAAGCGCATATTCCAGGTTTGCACCCCTCTAAATGTGAAGGTCTTTCTTTCACATTCTGACTTAGATGAGGAGGTACAATGTTTTCAGAAGTGTTGTGTACGGTGGGAATGTTGATCAGATACTTTGACGAAATTATCAAGAAGGTGCTTGTCCAGTTTTAACTTACTTCTTGGTAAATGTTTAAAAACAGTTTTACACCAGGATATTTGCATGAGAGCTTCGTTGATAATCCAATGTTTTCCAGCTAAGCAACTCATAGACTTGAGTTGAAGCATTAAAACAAAGGAAAATCATGCATGACTTGGTGGTAGATTTTGATGCAACAATTGTGTTTATTTCGAATGAAAGAATATTTGTATTTGTTTTAATAGTAATTTGTTTACAATTCCACAAGAATATTATCTGATGTGTACAACACTCCTAAACGACCTAAAGTCAAGTTCTGATTTCATAGTGTAGCTGTTAGACGGCATAATATTAAGTTTGCTTTGAAAAACACTTGGCAATATGTAGACTGAAAACAGCTCCTCGTTATCGGTTTATGCTGTGTGAGATCCAGATTTTTCGAAGGTGGTAAATTTTGTGATATTTTCCTTTGTATATTTTATTTAGGATATTTGTTTTAACAATTTGGTTTGCTAGTTTTATTTCTTATTTTTAAGAAAAGGTGACCGTGCGCGTGTTGGCCTATTATACTGAGTTGAATTCCCGTACTGATATTCACTTGTGATGAGCAAGTATAAAAATAAAGTATTTAAATCAAATCAAATTTTAACTGCATATTTATCCCTTCTCTCAAAACCTGTTAAGGAGTCCCCTTGAATCCTGCATTGAGACCTCTCTGTCTTCGACCCACGTTCGTTTCAACTCTGACTTGTTCCTATACATTGTATATTTCAGGTGACGATGGCCTGCTTTCTTTTCCTTTTGTGTCTTGGAGCTTGCATCAGAATCTCCCAATCATCTACCTGCCATGCGGGTTCGCATGCAACGCCCGAGTCATTTTAATCATTTACAATAGGTGCATTCGTTTAGCTCACCCGGGTTGATTTGGGTCAGCCCTGTACCGATCGATTAGCTCTGACGTCATTCTCAGGGCTCACCCGGGTCAGCCACCACAGACCCTGCTCGTGAAGCAGAGTCGACCCCCCTTTTGGCTGCCAAAAATAGAAATATCATGCAGAAAAACGCAGTTCTAATGCCTGCTAAACCACACCTCACCCTCGTTTGGCAGCTACTGTACCCCCCCCCTCCTCCGGTTGATACTTTACCTTACGTTGCAATTTGTTTTGAGTCACACAACCCTGACCCGGTGGTTTTAAACTGTCAGTGTACACGATTGATCGCTCAAAGTTGATCATTAGGGCAGAAGATTGTGGCATCCATGGACAACATCGTGAAATTCGCATTGTTCGTATTTCACGATGTAAAGTATGAAAACATGACTTAAGCAGATCTTAGCTGTAACCTAATAGATTCAATTTTTGGGGGTGTTGGGAAGTCCCAAAAGATTCATTCACGAGTCGGCCAAACCAGATTGAAAGCGCGGTGAAGTTTTTGGAACTTGCAAATTAATGAAAGCAATGAAATAAAGTTCATTACAATTTAATACCAGCCTGCTCTGATGAATATTTGAAGCAGCATTAAAAAATAATTTGAAAGTGAGGCTTGGAATGCATAAATAGTCTGGCACCATCCCATTGAACAGTTTGCAATGTATCAATTCCATTCAGGGTTCACGATCAAAAATGGCTCCCTCGTGAATAAGTTCTATTTCATTACGTTCGTTAAACATTAACGGAGCCCATCTCGCCAAATATTTTAATCGACCCTTGTTCATCTCTTCAACTGTTTTGCAGCCCACTAATTATCATTAACGCAAGATAGATAACCTGCAAAATAGTACAGAAAACAGTTATGCAGTTTATAAGTAGGCGTATGTCCATTGCCTCAAACCTCTTCAGCTTTTATTTCCGTCTCTTTGCCGACCGACAATTGCCGCCATTCCAATATTCTCGGATTTTCTTCCTTAAAGGGAATGTACAACATTTGCTTTTGCTGCAATTTTCAGAAATAAATGGATTTGGAGGATTAGTATGTTATAGCAAATATTGTTAAACTGACTTGTTTCACGTTTTGGGCTTGATTATGCTGGAAAAACCAAGAAAACCAATCATTTTCTTGTTGTCTGGTTCCCCGACCCCACTTAAGATGAAACGGAGAAACGTAAAGACTTTGGGGAATTGTAAGGTCAAAGAATCACTCTAGCAGGTTTGTACCCCTTCACAGGTGTGTAATCTATTGCGAAGAAAATGCGGAATTACTAAATATGAAAAAGTAGGAGCTGTTTTTGAAAAAAAAAACAGGCCGACCAGCGTTGGAAAAATACATTTTTTCTTGAAAATGTCAGCACACCAGGAGCCACGATTTTACAGGATGCTTTACACTGTCAATCCCTAACAATTCAGCAAGGTATTTCGTGATAATTTGATCATTTCGTTTTTTGATGTTTGCAAATGTTGTATCTTACCTTTAACAATGTGCTATTCCTGCGACTCATCTGTTTTCAACATGGAGCCACCTAGCGCCAGTTGCTTCCTAGCTAATCCCGCCCCTTTCACAGTGACCGCTAGTGGCAGATGTTAAACAACAAGTTGCTTGTCTGCGATACAATGGATCTAATTGTTGGACGAAGTTCGTTAAACAGTAACGGAAGCCCATTTATCACGGTATGTTAATCGACTATTGGGCAGCTTCTAAATCATTAGTGGAGTCCCTGTATTATGAAGTTCATAACAATAGGCCTAGATATACATACATTCAAATTACAGAAAGCCGGCTTCGGAGTTTATAAGTGCTGCACTTGCTTCATCATTTTCAGTTTTTACATCCGCCTCCTAAGCTGTCGGCTTGACATTGGCAACAATTCCCGATTTTGGTCTTTTTCTTCGCCGTGGTCACAGAGAGCAAGAAAAATGGTAAGTTCATCCACTTGTTCAAAATACGTTTTTCATGAAAAGACTTAACACAAGAAGATGTTGTGGAAATAGTGAACGATATTTTGTGTACAACATACCCTGGACCCTGGTATGGTTTTACAGTGTATCCTTCCACAATGGCACTATTTTTTGGGAAAACTCTATGATGTATGTACCAGTAGAATGACCACAGCAACTCGGTATTTTTATTTTTTTTGAGATTTAGATTTTTAACGGGTCGTAAGGTTAGCGATATTTCCCCGTGTCATTTGTTTTTAAATTAAAGATGTGTGGCCGGTTTGGGTTCCTATTATCAGTGCGTTCGATTACTTCCCCCGCGCTTACTCGTGCAAGCGCGACAGCGTTCGATTTACCTCTCACGTGACTTCTCGCGCTTACTCGAGCCTGGCCAAGTGACCGACTCGCCGAGCCGGTAACTTGAGTAAGTATCCCATAAGGCCATGCAACGTCCGGCAGGCGCCTCAGGCCGTGTCCGAAACGGGCTTCCACGAAGCATAACAGAGCTACAAACCCTATCATAGCTCTATGATAGCTGTCCCTACCCCCCTCTAAAATTGATAAATCAAAAATATGTTGAGAAAAACAGGATTCTTTTGGGAAAATATGTTTCTATACATTGTATATTTCAGGTGACGATGGCCTGCTTTCTTTTCCTTTTGTCTCTTGGAGCTTGCATCAGAATCTCCCAATCATCTACCTGTCATGCGCAGTGTGATTACGACCACGTGACTGCGAGGGCCGACTGCTCTTCCCGCAATCTGAACTGTATCCCCGTCAACTACCCAGACTCCCTCGTCATGGATCTCAGCCACAATGCCATATCGGTGCTGGAACCAGACGACTTCAACGGGACGTTCACGAGGTTGGTTGAGCTGTACCTTGACTACAACGACATCTCTGATGTGACGTCACTGTTGGAGTCAACCGGGTTGGGAAGCCTGCAGAAACTCTCGTTGCAACACAACGTCATTTCAGCATTACAGACTTCATGCAGCCTCAGCTCCCTCGTCAATATCTCAGTCGACTATAACTCACTTGTACATTTAATTTACATACCGAGCTGCGGAGCTTTGGAATACTTTTCGGCGAATTTTAACCCTCTAACTGGTTTCTTCCTTCCGACTAAATTACCCTCGATTTTAAGCTTGCAATTCACTAAGATATCAGGCCTCGTTTTGACACGCGATGATGTCGGCACACTTTTGTTGGATAACAATGAAATTTCGTCTTTTTCATTTACTGGTGACACGTTTAATTTAGTGTCCCTCAGTCATAATAGGCTGAGTACCTGTAACTTGAGAGCGTCGTTCATGTTCGAGCTCAATATCGCAAGCAACGGACTAAAAGATTTCAAATCAGTTAAGGTACATCTGAGCAAAAATAAAGATATGAATAAACTGGACATAAGCAATAACTCCTTTGATTCCCTAATACAACCAGATTGGGCAGAAGGTCTTCAGATCTTATACGCTGATGATAACATGCTGGCCAACCTGTCCTCTACAACCCTACAAGGATTCAGCAGCCTTACTGAGCTCCATCTAGCAAATAATCGACTTGTGTTCATCTCACCAACCGCTCTGAGTCAACTCACTAAGTTACTGTATCTGTACATCGCTGGGAATCGACTAGTTCACGTGCACTCAGAGATGTTTCGGCAGGTGCCTGGTCTTACCACGATGGACTTCTCTGAAAACAAACTTGAAGTCTTTGATATCACAAATTGCCTCCCCAGCAACTTAAGTAACCTCCTGCTTGCTTACAATTCGATTCATAACATCAGCTTGATACTTGGCCATTGCGATAAACTAGTAGTCCTGGACTTGAGTTTCAATCAGATCGAAGTGGTTCCTGGTGACTCTCTTACTGGGGGACACAGAGCGCTATCCAGACTTGAGCTTGAAGGCAACCTGCTCCAGTGTGACTGCCGGTTGACGGGTCTACGTGACTGGCTTCGCAACAATCCCCCGTCTGTTATCCCTCGATGTCAAGGTCCACCGCAAAACTCAGGAGCAGTGGTTACAGACTTGGAATTACAATCCTGCGAACCCCCGAAGGCCGTGACCAACGCGAACCATCTTAACCTGATAGTCGGTTTGTCGGCGACTCTTTCGTGTGCGGCGACTGGGATACCCACCCCCAACAGAACATGGCTGAATCCCAACGGCACGGTGATACCAGACGAATGGCAAGGCAGATTTATCATTTCAAGCGACATGACTTTGCTCATCATTTTAGTTGAGCTATCTGATCAAGGAATCTACACGTGTTTGGTCCAAAATATCCTTGGTGAAATGGACAGAGCTGTGGTCATTCTGACTGTAACCCAAGACCAAATATCAACAGGTATGCCTAAAGTAGGTACTTCTTTGGCTGCTGTTGTTCTCCCCACCATGGTTATCACTATTGCTATCATGTTCATTGTCTTCGTCTTGGTATTCTGTCTTCGACGGGGCTATACAAAGAGACACCAGACTAGCTCGGCATCTCTAGGACCGCAGAAACACGAGCTCGCGGTGACCTTCCGACGAGGAAAGGCTTCCAACTCAGACGGAGTTTATGTCAACGACGTAGTCGATGACCGAGAGAGCCCAACTGCAATACAAAGAGCAGGGAGCAACGATGGATATCAGGATACCATACGGACGGACGAGCCTCCACAGGTCTACCAAGAGCTTTTGCTGGAGAACAAGGATGACATTTATGAACCTGTGGCTGTAGGAGGCAATCAGTCATAGGTGTGTCGACCCCCCCCCCCAAAAAAAAAAAAAAGAGAGACCAAAACTGGAATTCAGTCATATCCTTGTGAAACATCAAATACCTATCTCTGACAATCTTTGATCTGGTAAGGTTAACACTTAAAACTGTAGCGGTCCGGCTGCCCTCGCGACTCTTCCACCGTGATTCTGCCGGAATACTGATAAGGGAAATGAAGCCCTTGAACCATTCCGTTACCAATTGGCACATGTGCATTATGGTCATTAACTTTACTCGCTTTTCAGAAAAGGTAATGGCGCACCATTGTGATACGCGGGACCACCGACGCGGAAACCAGCCTAGACTGTTACGTGTCCTTACTCAATGTTTCGTTACACTCCATTATGTTCACCATATTATTTTTATTATGAATGGTTTAAAGATATAGTTTTCTTTCTTTACCTGGAAATATTGTATAGTTTTTGTATGAACACATTTATTGGACTTTTGGACCTGTACATTTGTGAAACCAACTTTTAGCGGGTTTTTTTACCGCATATATCTCATGATAACGCGCAGAGGTGGTAATCAGTTACATAGTAATCAGTTACAACTGTCCAATGTGCTTTGGTTTGACTCCTTAATTGATAACGCCAGCTAGTAAACCTTAGCACGTTCACTTATTTTATTTGCATACTTGAGGTCGATCCAATCAGTTAGCAGTTTGTAGCAGTCATATATCCATTTTGTCATCAATGTACGTGCCGCAGCTATCATGTTATTGGTTTTATAAATGAAAGTTAGGACATGTTATTTAAGTTCACACACGTTATTTAGGTTTACAGCAAGTAAACGGTACATTTTCTTTTATATAATCGCCATAGAAACCGTTTCAGTCTTTCCGCTGCAGACGTGCATTAAAAAAAAAGCTTTTCTTAATGTAGGTAAACAAAAAATGCTAAGATAAATATAGCCTGCACACATTAATTGTATGGTATCATTTTAACAGTACGACCTGTTTTTAGTGGGCTTAATGTATTAATTATAACACATACATTCGTGGATGTTTATTTACATTAAATAAATTTCATTGTAGATAAACTTGCGAGCAGTTTCCATCTACTCGCGTGTATATTCATAATAGCAAAAACTACAATGTTTACCTTAATTAATGATCATTAATCAAATGGGCGCCACTCTGAGACATGTTATGTGCGCTATTAGAATTCTATTTTGCAGGAAATCAAAAACTTTGAAAATAAAATCGAAATCCCACTATCTGTCTTTAGATTTGATTTGGAGCCAACAATATCTAACCACTTAAACAAAGTTACCCTTGTTGATAATACCTTACCCTACTTGGCAACGTCAGCCGATATCTAACATCCAGTTATCTAATTCTAGTAAGTTATGTGTAATCCTAGGAGGCCATTGGTAACCTTTATGTTGGAAAACCATAGTTGGCAATATCCAGTGGCGTATTTAGGAAGGAGGGGGCTGCAATGAAGAACGCCATCTATTGTCTAATATTGTCTTCTTTATACAGCGCCTCCAATAGTCGGATGGCGTCCATGCAGCCCTTCTAGCACGGATAGTCTGCTTGCCACCCCCACCTTCAGCAAAATCCTGCATATGCCACTGAAAATATATAACCCTAGTTCACAACGTCCCATCGATTAATCATTTACAATAATTATACTGACTCATACGAGTCCTTCTTGCTTTAGAGGCGTCCTTAAAGAAATGACGAAAACAATCTATATCAATTTACTAAGGTTGCAGAGCAGCTATAAAGCTATTATAACACACCTCTTGCTGGTTCTTTACCCTGGTTGGCCGAAACACGGTCACGTGGGGTTCACTTGTACTTATAGGCTTGTGCATGAAATGTGCGTTAGAGTGAAATAGACGCGCGTCAAGACAGTAGTATGTTTGGTACGGTTTGTGTAAAATTTCAAGCAGCTGTTTTTACATATTATTACGGGAAATGGTACCTTAGGGGGCATTCCCTTGGGGTTGTGCACAAGTTTTGGTCCAACTTTTTTGACCCCTAACCCCAATTTCCCTTATCCTACCCCCACGAATTCATGGTATATTTACGTTTTGGACCATGAGCAATAGATAGCCTATTCGCGACATTATAATTTTGCCTCTAAATAGGAGTAATGACACCAGGGTGACATTGAAATGTCTCCTTAATGTCAGGTGTCTCCCTAAGGTATAATTTATGACGATAAATGTCTCCTTAAGGATCCATTAACATGAATTATGCTTAGACTAGATCATTATAATTTACACGTTCAATAATTATGTTAATGGCGCATGTTTTGTCCCCTATTTTATTGGTATTTGGTGGGCATTTTGATATTCTCGTCAGTGTCTATGCAGTAGCATTTTCATTTATTTTGCACAATATGCTTTATGGGAACAATAGATTTTGGTTTTGATCAGGCAACGAAAGATATGCTCCTTCAGGAAAAGTTTTTTGAGTTTAGAATATACTTTTGCTCTTAAAACGTTTCTACTGTACTGAAAAGTCGAGAACCCTGAATTTTTATCTCCATTTTTTGTTCCATTTAATTCTGGAAAACGAAGTGTATCATTATGCATGACATCGCAGGCTGCTTTCTTACATGTAGTAAATTCCTTCGTGTATGCTTTGTTTTATTTTCCGAGCCCTTACGGCGTGGGGCTAGGGGCCCTCTTATTGGGCCCCGGAAAATTTTGGATTCTGGATGCACTACTACGTGATGAAATAGGTAGTCGAGCAGCCAGAGGGGTGAGCCGTGTATTGATGGATATATAATGCTTTTGTGTATATATATTCTAACCAAGGAGGTCATACTATCAAAAAAAATTGCATGATGACATCTTCAGTAAGGGTTGAGCAATTTTTGATATCGATTATTTATTGAGTAATCGGGCACAACTGGATCACTTTTTAGAATTGTTCGAATAAATCTTCTTTGTTTCTATTTTTCTGGACTGTAATTCTCCGCAAGTTTCTCCTCAATAGTTCAACGTGTAACTTTGAACCAACGTCATCCCTGACCCCAAGTGGAGAATATAACTTTGACGTCACGATGACGTCATCGGGTATCAAATTACAAGCGATTTTAGTTGAAAAAGTTACCAACTCCTTTCACTTATAACTCTTGAACAAAATAATCAATGATTTTTGTATTTTGTAATCAGATAGATCATTAATAATTTGATTGAACCTTTTGGGTGACTGCTCTATGTTCCGACACCCCTATGTTCCGACACCCCTATGTTCCGACAACTCAACCTATGTTCCGCCACCCCTATGTTCCGACAACCTGCATATAAGATTGTGTTACTCCCGGTGAGGGTTAGTAGGGTTGGGGTTAGGGATAGGGATAAGAATATGTGCAGTCGGAACATAGGGGTGTCGGAACATAGGGGTGTCGGAACATAGGTTGAGTTGTCGGAACATAGGGGTGTCGGAACATAGGGGTGTCGAAATATAAAGGTGTAACCACTTTTTTGTCGTGTACGTGAAGTCGCTGAACCTTTATACTTCCGGGGCTACCGCAAGGCCAAAGTTAGGTGAATTCAAATGTAGAAATTTCTTCCAAACGGTTTGCCAGATAATGATAAAACCTAATATGAACCTGAAAAAAATGTTGTTACGTCATCATGACATCATCAGGTATTAAATTACAATTAAGAGATTTAATGTCAACATTTTTAGAAACATTCCTTGAACTGTAACTTTTCACATGATTGGAGTACCATTCTCGCTATCATGTGATCAGTTAGACAGTGTTTAGAGCAATATTTTGAATTCCTGGGCAATTAGTACTGTTGTTTGACCTTTACTTCCAGTTTTACCGGAAGTGAAAATTGAATATAACTTGAAATTGGAAGCATTTTGGTTTAATATATAAATAATCAGTGAGGAATGTCAAACACAAATATTGGCATGATGACGTCACTAACTTGAAAGGACGTCAAAGATAGATGAAACTTGAATTTTAACAGTTTACCAAATTAACCCCAAATGCTCTTTGTACAATCTCAAAGGACTTTGTGAGATTTCAGAATCATGACGTCATCAGACTGGAAGTTATTGTAAGAAGAATTTGTAAATGATCAGTTTTCTTTCCATTAAATTTAAATCGGAACAGGAAGTTAAGTGTTACTAGTACACACACTTATAAATTCATTATATTTCCTTATTTTCAAAAGTTATTTTCACTGTATGACGAACGTTATCCTGTATGAACTAAATCAATATTAAGTTTGGACATTTTAACTGATGACGTCATCAGTGTAAATAAAATGTATACTGAAACTTATAAAACCCGAAAGGATGTTTTTTGGGTCAAGTTAAAACAAATGGTTCCACTAGAAACGGATGAATTCCTGTTCATAAAAATATTCACAACTTAACTAGCCAATAAAATAGTTCTAACTCAACAAACGATGTAGCTCTATATTTGCAGTGTTATTTGTTTGATACAGGGAATCAGTCAGTTGCCGTGTCACGCGTAGCTGCTCTATTTTGTCGTCCACACAACTGACAGCAACACGAGGCCAGCGAACAATGGCCGTAAAAAAGGCTTCAGATAATTCGCAATTTTCATGGCAAACCACAACCGATCCAAACAAACAAAGTTGTTTTAAGTAGTTAAAGACCTAATTCATACATCCATCAAGGTATTTTTTTCTCAAAAAAATGATTTCGATGCATTTTGACGATATTATTTCACGGACAAATCAACTAAAAATTAGGTTATAAAATTTCCGGGTTTTTTTTCGAGAACGACGAAAGTTTCCCAAATGTTGAGGTAATCAAAGGAAAGAGTGAACCTTCATCTACAAAAAATCTCGTGAACGTGATGTCGTTAATATTTGAAGAATTTGATGTACACCTAATGTTTCCAACAACTTCCCTTTTTCACAACGCGAAAGGATCGTCGCAATTGTAAAGCATAGAGCGGGGAACCCAAACACGGTGTGACCTTGTGACCCATACGCCCACTGATTGGTCGAGCTCGAGTATGGCCTGCTTATA